TTATACTATATACTGACTAATTCGTTTTTCATAGAAACATCCATCAAATACCAACAATAATTTTTTCACTTTATATCATATATTGATTGATTTATTTCTCATAGAAAAGACCATCAAATACCACAAATAAATGTACCCATTTTATATCATATATCGATTAGTTTATTTTCAGATATTGTAAATAAGAATTTTTTTTTTCAGAAAGAAATTAGTATTTAAAAATAATTAAATCTTTTATATTAGATTTATTATAATTTTAAACCATTGGTTTTATCTTTCAAGTTCTTGATTATTTTTTCGTCTAAAAAAATATAACTACAGTTAAATTAATAACTTTAGATATATTGAATTGTTTAATAATTAATAAATAAAATAAATAAAACAATCAAAACTAACTAATATAAATTTATTTGTTTGTATTAAAGAACGTAAATTAAAGCATGTTGGAATATATTATCCCCAAATTCATTATTTTCTATCACAATTCCCAAATATCATGATTGCTTGTAAGTACCTTATTTTTTATAAAGAATATGAATGCTTTACTAAAAAAAAAAAAAAGTTTAAACAGAAGGAACACAATAATATTAATTAATGCCCTAACTAACAAATGGTTGATTAAATCAATTTCCACAACAAAAAAACAAAAAAAAAAAAACATGCTTATCAAAAATCTTCTTCACAATCACGGATCTCTAGCAAGTCACAACAAATTCACGGATCTCTAGCAAGTCACAACAAATTCACTGCAGGTAACGAACATTAGTTTTCTGAAATAAGCCGCAAAAATTAATTTTGAAATGAACTAATCCCACAAATTAAGGGAAACATTAATATTTTCCATTTTTTCAATTTTCTTGAATAAACAAAAATTCAAAAACTTACCCAAGTTAGGAAGTATTCAATGTTGACTTAGGTTTACCTACATTTGACCTACTATTTTTAAAAATGGTAATCCTTTTTATATAGATATAGATAACATTTATTTATTAAATTTCCTCTCAGCTCACCAAAATAAATAGGGATTTTGTAACTTCGGATCCTTTTCTCTCCAAGTCTGCGTAGAACGGTAGTTTGAACACTGATCAAACTTGTCCTTTTATTGTTAAAAGTTTGCTAACAATAAATAAATAAAATTGGTACTAAAAAATTTGAGACTGAGTAGACATACATATATCTGTGTAACAAACTACTAGTGCGTAGCCCCGTGCGATGCACGGGTAAATATTATTAAATAATAATTATAAATAAGTCTTGATTTTGAGTGGTGGGAAACCATTATCTTATTTTAAAAGAGCAAAAAAAATATTATAAATTAAAGATGTCGGGTTAACATGTAATATAATTTACCGTCGTATATCAGTTTAGTATCAGCAATATAAAATTAACTTGTGTAGAGAACATAAATTTTGCATGTTTAAAATATTAAAAACACGTAAAAGTATGTATTGGTTTATGTATTATTATTAAAAGATGTGAAGTCACCTACAATTCTTTTAAACTATTTTGGAAAGAAAACATGTTTAAAAACATTTGAATTTTACATTTGTATGAAAGATGTTTTCTAAACTCGGTTGTAAAGAAAACATGTTTAAAAATACTTAAATTTAATATGTATATATATATATATATATGTATATGTATATATATAATATGTCATGATAAAATATTATATAAAAGTATTTAAAATATCATAGTCTAAATAAATTATATAAAAAATAAATAATGACATGATATCGAGAATTATGACTGTATTTCTTATTATTTTTTTATAAGTTGTTACCATTAAAAAGAAATTTTGTATGCATAACTATTTTATGCAGATTTATTAATTTTACAAATACAGATCGAGGTTAATGTAAAATGTAACAAAAATTGAAGATAATATTAAAATCTGCATTTTTTCTATTAACTTTTTATTATACGTATTTAATATTTTTGGATGAGAAATGTGTGATAAATCTTATTCTCGTTATGTATCTATCATTATATTAAAGACATCTAAAATATTATATTACATGTATAAAAAGTATATAAAAAATTCTATATTATCCTTGAAAAAAGTTGAAGCTACTCTCTAAATTATTTTTTAAAGAAAACATGTCTAAAAATACTTAAATTTAACCTCCATATATATATATATATATATATATATAGCTCCTTAATGTTTGTCCAAATAATGTTTGAAATATCTTCAATATTTATGTTAATAATATTTGAAAAAATATTAGTATTTTAGATGGGAAATAATTAACTTTTTAAAAAAATTCTGAGCGTAGGTCAAAATTTATATTAACAATTACACTTTAGAGTGAATTAAAAAAAATTATGTTTACCTTTTACAAAATCTGTTCCAATAAATATGTTACGATCTGTTCCAATTGGCAATTGAGTTACCTATCTTTTAGGAAAAATAAAAATAAATATGTTTCCAAAAAAAAATCAAAGAGTAGATTTTTTTACAAAATCTGTTCCAATAAATCTGTTCCAATTGGCGGGTGATTTTAATTTCTACACAACTCGCGGGTAAATTTTGGCGAGAACCTAAAAAAGTTATTTTTTTAATATATAAATAGATTTGAGTAGAAATAATATCAGTGTAACAAACTATCAGATATCTGCGCATTTAAATCTATTTATCTGTTAACAAACTATTGGTTCATCCTCTAACTAGTTTTTCTCGAATGTTCTAACAGATTCATAGTGATAGTAGAAGACTGATTCAAGAATTTTTGTTTATTTAAAAAACTGAGTAACTCATGTTTACATTAACTCTTAAAAATACAGAAAAAT